ATATATTTTATTGATTTTTTACAGAGAGGAAGGGAGAGGGATAGAGAGTTAGAAACATCGATGAGAGAGAAACATCGATCAGCTGCCTCCTGCACACCCCCTACTGGGGATGTGCCTGCAACCAAGGTACATGCCCTTGACCGGAATCGAACCTGGGACCCGTCAGTCCACAGGCCGACGCTCAATCCACTGAGCCAAACCGGTTAGGGCCCCATTTTTTAATTGAATTGTTCTTTTTCTTATCGCTGGGTTTTCAGAGTTCTTTGTGTATGTTGGATAACAGCCTTGATCATGTATGTCTTCTGCAAATATGTTCTCCCAGCCTGTGACTTGTGTTCTCATTCTCTTGACATTGTCTTTTGCAAAGCAGACATTTTTCATTTCAATGAAGTCCAACTATCAATAGTTTCTTTCATGGATCGTATCTTTGGTGTTGTATCTGAAAAGTCATCGCCGTACCCAAGGTCATTTAAGTTTCCTCCTGTTACCCTATAGGAGTTTATAGTTTTACATCCTATATTTAGTCTGTGATCCGTTTTGTGTTAATTTTTATGAAGGGTGTAAGGTCTGTGTCTTGGTTCATTTTTTTTGCATGCGGATGTCCAGGTGTCTTAGCACCATTTGTTGAAAAGACTGTATGTGCTCCATTGTATTGCCTTTCCCCCTCTGTCCAGGTTCCGTTGCCTGTATAGTATTTATGTGGGTATATGTCTGGCCGAGGTTTGCCCTGCCCTGTACACGCAGGCCTTGGTTTGGTGGCCGCTTCTCCTGGGTCAGCACCTGCAGCCAGATTGGTCTCTCCAGCCTCCGTCCTGCCCTGCTGGATGCTCCTAGCACAGTGCCTGGCGGATGAGAAGTCTTAATAGATGAGCACTGACACCTGAGTGGACCGCCTCCTTTTGAGGCCCAGTTCCTCCTCCTCCCGTCCTAGTCTATTCCTTCCCTCATGTCCTAAGTGTGGGTCTCCCTCCCGGCTCCGGCCAGGAGCTGTGCTTGGCTTTTTCCAGTTTCCCTGAGAGCTTGTTCGCCCACCGCTTCACTACTCACTTCCGGGTAGGCATTCCTTCCTCCCTGCCTGCGGGCCACTACCTCTGGGAGGCCTTCTCGGCCACTCCACCCCAAGACTAGTGTGGATAGCTCTTCTGGGCCCCTCCTGTCATCCTGTCCTTCCCACCGCAGCGCCTCTCAGCTCTTGATCATCAGCTTCTCCCCACTCGTCTGGGAGCCCTTGTAGGGCAGGGATGGCATCACTGCTCCCTGCTGCATCCTCACATGGGCACAGCGCACGGCTTTTAGTCGGTGCCCAGGGAATACCTGTGGAATGAGTAATGCATTTGCAAATTGTCGCTTCTCACCTGCAGTTTGGGCTCACGTTCCAGCTACCTAGAGGAGTGATACCTAAACCTAACTAATTGTCTGACAGCTGGGAGCGTTTCAGAAACTAAAAGTGGAAATTGCAAGGTGAATGCTCCCATTTGAACCAAATAACTCTGAAAGGTGGTGAGAGAAACTAAGGGTATTGGGCCAGGGGTAGAAAGAAGACTTTTTACTGTGCTATTTGGCTTTGTTCCATGCAAATTACTGTGTGTGTGTGTGTGTGTGTGTGTGTGTGTGTGTGTGTGTAAACAGAAAACTATTCAGGAGTCACAATAAACAATTCAGGACCCAACACAGACCCAAGGAATAAGCCTCTAATGAGTCTGAATATCTGGATAATCCCCTGTGATGCTGGTCATTAGCCAGGCACAGCCAGGACCCACTGGTAGGTCCTGCTGTCACTCCAACGCAAACTCAGCCAAATGCCGGTCTCATCATTTCCCCCCTAAAACTTGCTTTCGTTCCAATGTCCAGCTCCCCTTTCTGTTCCTTCCGTGTGCAGGTCTTGTCCCTCCTTCCAAGGCCCTGACAATATTGGCTGCAGGGCATCCATTGACACCCAACCACCGATTCATCCATCATGCCTTATCCCTGTGTTCTGTACTAGAGCAACGTGTTGGCACATACGGTACCAGTGTGAGCCCTTTCCCCATGGACACACACCTGCACACATGCCAGTTCAGGAGAGAGACAGGGGAAGGCTCAGAGGCACTTCACCCGTCAACAAGCTCAGGCGACGGAGGCCTCATCGTTTCCCCACTCCTGTGCCACCTCTTCCAGGCAGTCCTCCGTGACTGCTCCAGCTCACATTAACCTCACTTGAGCGAAACCTAAATTTACCAGTTTAATTGTTGACTTAGCTCCCGGAATAGATTGTAAGTTCCTTGAGGGCAAGAACACAGAATCACACTTCTTTGTTAACTTGGTTATCTGGGCACGGTGGCTAACAATCAGTACAACTTGTTGGGTCACTGACATTCATTTTTCTTTTCATGAGTGTGTGTGGGGGGGGGAGGAGAGGAGGAGTCAGAGGTCAAGAGAATCTTTTTGAGAGGTCAGGGGTACGATGACCAATAATAATAATAGTTACCCTTTATTGAGCAGCTCCTACGTGATAGCCTCTGTGCTTGTGTTTTAAGATGCAGTAAATACTTTGTATCTGATCCTTGTAAGAACCCTGAAAGGTAGGTATTATTATTCCCCTTTTCCCGAGAGATTAAACAGTACCTTGGATCTGCTCCAAACCCTACTCCTCAGAGGCGGAGCCGGGAGGTGCAGCTGGGAGGAGGAGCATCGTGAGAGGGGGCAGGGTTGGGGGATGTATTAGTGGTGACACTCAGGATGAGGCCAGTGGCCACCAAGATCCTACCACCTGGGGGGAGACAGCAAAGGCTGTCACAAACTTTGCTCTGGGCCTTTTGCACGCCAACGGGCGAAATGGCCTCGTCCCTGACCCCCCCCGCCCTGCGCCAGGATTTGCATCGCTCGCTAATGCCCCATTTCTTTTTGGTTTTTGAAGGCAATTGAGAGATTTGAGATGGAGAAGAAAGCTTTAAAAGAGAAAAGCCGCTGCAGCTCGGAAGACAGAGGCAAAATCCTTTCTCATCGCCTTTCTCATAGTGCAGTGATGGCGAACCTATGACAGGCGTGTCAGAGGTGACACGCGAACTCATTTTTTTGGTTGATTTTTCTTTGTTAAATGGCATTTAAATATATAAAATAAATATCAAAAAATATAAGTCTTTGTTTTACTATGGTTGCAAAGATCAAAAAATTTCTCTATGTGACACGGCACCAGAGTTAAGTTAGGGTTTTTCAAAATGCTGGCACGCCGAGCTCAAAAGGTTCGCCATCACTGGCCTAGGGTTTCTCTGGGGTTTGGCTTTCTAGTATCTAAAATGCCTTCAGTAGGGATCCAGAGTTTCAGATGAGGATATTTTTGTAATCTTCTGAAGGAGTCTTAAATCTGACTTCTTGGCATTGGGCAACAAAGGAGGGAAGGGCAATACCATTCAGAGACCACCTGCTATGTGCTACACGGCACCAGGCGGTTCGTACATATTTCCCTGCCAAGGCTTCACAGTGCCCCAACCGGTAAGGTGGGCACCACGGAATGTATTTTATAGATGAGGAGCGGGCTTGGGGGGAGGGAGGGCTTAATAAGTCGGCAGCACGGGTGCGATCTAGTAAGACTAATACTGCGAGTGTCGCCGGCAGTTCAGGTTGGCCGAAAAGATCAGTTATAATTACGGCCCAGCGGTGGACAGACCCTGCGGGTTCTCACATCCCATTTCTCCTCTCCCGTTCTTCTGCAGGCAAAAGTCAAAGAAAAGCACCGGATACTTGCAGTGGCTCAGTATCCAGGAATGTCCGATCTATCTCTATTAAAAGGGTAAGGGATCCTGGGTGTGTGTCGGACTGGTTTCTGCTAGGCATGAAATCGGTTCTATTCCTGGGAGGGGGCCGGGGGGCAGGGCGGAATAATTGGCACCTGGATGGTGATGGTGCAGGAAAACCCAGAGTTCCCTTTATAGAGGCCCTCCAAGTATTTTAAGAACGCTGGAAGTTCTCACAACACCCTGGAAAGAGCAGAATGGGGAGTGTTCCAGGGGCATTTGTCTGTTTACCTGTAGAATGTAGATGTTTGCTCTTAGGAACAATGAGTTCAGATTCAGCTCCCACAGAGCTCCAAGGGGCGTTCACACAGCTGGGCTGGTCCATCAGTCCCTGCAGACGCCCGAGAAGCTGGGATTCAGTAGTTAGATGACCTGTCCACCATCACGCAGAGTTGATGGGAGAGCCCCGCTTCCTGCTCGGACCCTGGGACCCACGGCCAGACTCCCCCCTCTCCAGCAGCCACCCCAGTTAAGGTTCTCCTAAGCTTGCTCTTTTAACTACTCAGGTCATACGTATTCAAACCCTTTAAATGCTGGAGAACAGGGACAATACAGTGTTATCTTCTCTTCACCTTTTAGCCTAGGAAATGCCCACACGGCGTAAAGTCCAGCAGTTGAGAGTCAGCATGGAAACTGCCATCTAACCCGTGATGGTGGCCGAGCAGATTTAAATGTCCTGCCCAAGGTGGCACAGCTACTAAACGGTGGAGCTGATGTCTGACCCCAGGCCGCCCGACTCGGAGTCAGTGCTTGAGTCACTGAGTTCAGCCACTGTCAAGGCCATAGTCCAGTTAGAGAGCAATTCAGGCCCTCCACATGTTTCCAGTTGGTGCCTTTGGGCGATGGTAATTTTTTTAAAAAAATTTCTTTATTGATTTAGAGAGAGAAACATTGATTTGTTGTTTCACTTATTTGTGCATTCGCTGGTTGCTTCTTGTATGTGCCCTAACGGGGGATCGAACCTGCAACCTTGGCATGTCAGGACAATTCTCTACCCACTGAGCTATCTGGCTAGGGCCAGGTGATGGTAATTAATTTCCTCTTTTCTGTATTTTTACATTTTTTATAGTTATATTTTATTTTTATTCTAAAAATCCATTTAATGATGTATATTAAGAACCATAGGGATAGTCATATTCTTTGACCTAATATTGCCATTTTGAGAAAGTCATACTAAATAAATAATCCAAAGAAAGGGGAAATTATATGTTCCATGTCATTACTAATCTTAAAAAATATAATGGCGCCCGGCCTGGCCTGGTTCAGTGGTTGAGTGTCAACCTGTGAACCAGGAGGTCACGTTCAGTTCTTGGTCTGGGCACAGGCCCAGGTTGCGGGCTTGACCCCCAGTGTGGGGAGCGCAGGAAGCAGCCAATCAATGATTCTCCTCATCATTGATGTTTCTCTCTCTCTCTCCCCCTCTACCTTTCCCTCTGAAAATCAATTATATATATATATATGCAGTAGTATTAATTGGAAGTAATTAATTAAGTTATAGCCCATTAATAGGATATATTATTATAGATGATAAACTTAGTGTAGCAATGTGAAAAATCTAAAGTTAAATGCATAGAGCAGGACATAAAAGTGTGTGTGTGTGTGTGTGTGGTAAAATGAAGTTTCCTAACACATCTGTAGACATGTGCTCCAAGCCCGAAAGGGAAAACAGAAATCATGTGAATGGGTGTTTGGTGAGAGGTGCTGGGGTCATGGACGCACCCTCCTTTTCCCCAGCGCTCTGTAAGGTTGTTTTATTGTCTTTATGACATAAAGGGGAAGATATCTTGTCTTAAACTGTCGAAATGATGCACCCCATTTTCATATTCTGCCCTTTTGCTTCAGAGAACAGCAGATAAAAAGCTGCTGGCCGAGCTCTACCAGTGCCCCCAGTTTAACGACTCGAAGCCGAATGAGCTCCCAAACGGGGTGGACTTCTGTGACATGGTGGCCAACGTGGTCCGGTCTGAGAGAAACCCCTTTACTGGCAAGGTAAGCAGGACGTGCAGCTCCCCTCTGTGCGGCCAGCGCGGGCCGGCGGCGCCCCGACTGCACAGCCACCCCTGCTGTCCCCGTCACACCCGGGAAACGGAGTCAGTCACCGAGGGCCACGCAGCCTGAAGCTGAGATTAGACCCCAAGCCCGCGTTCCCCCCAAAACCTAGATTCTGTCTGCAGAGCACCGGTCTCCAGATCGTTGTGACCATGTATTCCACCCGGAAACATGGAGCACACGCCCTCGTGATACATGCTTTTTAAAAATACCATACATGCTCTGCTGTCAGTTGCCACACTGTGTATCACTAAACGTAACTTCTCTTTTTTCTTAGACATTAGTTAGAACAGGTTCTTCCCCTGGTAAACCGTGGGGGGAGTGGCCCACCTGGAGAGCAGACACACTGGGTTCCTCGGGGAGGGAGCGGGGGCGGGGAGTGTGCTATGGCCACTCAGGAGGCGGGGATGGTTGAAGCAGGTGTGGGGAGGGGGGAGCCCAGAAAACGGCCCGGCCTAGGCACCCCTACGCTGTGCCTCATTGCCCTGCACAACTCGTGTCCCCAAAGCAGCTTGGTCGTCGTCCCCTCGGCTCCTGCCTGGTCATCCCATCCCTGCTGCCTGCTTCCCCTGCCCCTCTCCCCCTTCTCTCTCTCCCTCTCTCTCCCCTCTGTTTTCTTCCCCCTCTTCTTTTTTTTTCATGAGTTCTTTCTGCTGCCTTCTCTCCACCTAGGTCTCTAGATCGGTTGGCCTCCTTCCTCTGTGTTGCATTCAGACTTCCTAAAAGTGATGATCTGTTTGGGCCAGTCACTGCCCGTGTGACAGTGGAGTTTGCTGGCCGCTGGGCCAGGCAGGGGTCACCCTGGGCGTGGTGCCTGGTCCCCGGCTGCCCTCAGCGGGCATGGGGAGCAGCAGCACTCGGGGCATCGTGTGCTCCCCAGGAAGGTGGACCAAGGCGTCCACACGCTGTCGTTTGTGGCAGCAGGAGCCGGGCGGCAGGGCTCTGGTGGCTCAGGGGCTCTGGGCTCTGGGGTCTTCTGTCAAATAGGGGGAGCAGCAGCCTCTAACTTGAAGAATTTGTAAAGTTTACTAAGGATGTGAATAAAAGCACTTAGTCATAAATTCCAAAAAATGGTAGTTTTATCATCAATGTGATTAGAGAGTTTAATGACCAACAGTATTACAGTACAGTACAGCCATTTTTGGTATATATATCATCCTTAGCCATTAAAATGAATGTTCATAAAGGGAGCATCTTAGCGTGCCATACCGTGTTGTTGGATAAAACATACCAGCATGTAAGTTCTCTAGATACAGTGTCACGTAAGCACACACGGGAAACTCGGGTGAAACCATGCATGGATCTCACCAGTGTTCTCTGAGTGAGAAGACTATAGTTTTTCCTTCTTCCTTTTTCTTTCTGGAATTTAAATGGACTGTGTGTTTCCTGGATCCGCTATTCCTATGTGACCTTCCAACCCATGTCCTTCTGACCCTGGTCAGGCACAGCCACACGTGCTCACGTCCTGTGTCCTGTGTGGGTGAGGACAGTGACTACAGCATGACTGCATGTCCCATTTTGAGGTCTCGTTGTAAATGTTTCCTTAGCCCCGATCCCAAGCAAAACTGCGCGTCTCCTGGGAGGCTGTTAGCCTTATAGCTGATGCCAGTCCCTGCTTCTCTTTGGTTTCCAGGAAACTGAAGGAAAATTGGTACCTTGCCTTTGAGAAAGGACCCTCTTCCATCCTGCTCAGGGGCCATCCCCAACTTTCACTTGCCTTCTCAAACCCTCTCCTCCACACTGCTCTCCCTCCACCCTGCTCTCCCTCCACCCTGCTCTCCCTCCACCCTGCTCTCCTTCCACCCTGCTCTCCCTCCACCTCCGCTCTCTCTCCACCCTGCTCTCCCTCCACCCCCACCCCACCCTTTCAGAGCCATCGCTAGTGGCCATCCCAGGGTCTGTTGCAGGGCTGACATGAAATCCTGTGAAGGGAAGCAGGAGTCTGAATAAGCAGTAGAGCACACTTTTAGCAAGTCCTAGGTGCCTGGCATTGTCCTGGGCACTTTGTACGTGTCACTTGTTTAGTCCTCACCATCATTTCCTTTTTCGGGACGAGGACTCTGAGCACACCAGGTTCAGTAGTGTGGCTCAGGGTCGCACAACTAGCAAGCATACCAGCTGGATTCGAATCCAGGCGGCCTGGTATCAAAGTCTGCACTCGACTGCCTCTCGAAGGGAACATGAGGGATGGCGACAAAGACAGAGTCGGGCACGGGGCTCAGAGAGCTGCTTGCTACCGGGAGGCTTGCTGATCAGTGCCCGATGCCCTGGGCTGACGGGTAGGCTTGAAGGGAGCGCCTCTCTCCCTTTGCACCCAGGAGGGTGGCAAGGTGAGCTCTCTCTGCTCTTCCTCATGGCAGCCTGTGCCGTCTCTGGGGGCACACTGCTTGCTTTCGAGCCTCCGGGCTGTGTGAGCTGAGGCCAGAATCTTAACCTGATCCTCACTTGCCTCCCCTATAAATGATAGCACCTACCACTCGGGTAGACTGTGAAGAATAAAGCGAGGTAAGGAATGAACCTGCACAGCCCGGTGCCAGGTACATGGTAAGCATTTAACAAAATTTCCACATGATTGCGGTAGTGGCTGGGGAGTCGGCACAAGGTTCAGGACCCAGCTGCGTGGTGATGAAGGCTGGATTTTCTGTCCCTCAGAGTTCACCGATAATTCTAGAATTCCATGTGCCTACAGCTAGCTCAGCAGAATCTTAAGGTCTAGGGATGTGCTTTTGTATCATTTCTGTTTGCCGACATTGATGACTGTTAACTGGATGTAGGTGAGGGCATGGAGCCTTATCTAGAGCTGTGAGTTCCGATCCTGGCCCTGCCACCTGCTGGCTGTATTACTTCGGACAAGTGACTTCAGCTCTCTAGCCCTTGGTTTCCTCATCTGTAACATGGAGCTGTTAATGCAGGCCTCCTGTGACTATTAGGGGTAAACAGAGAACATGTGAAAGTATCTGGCAAGGCAAATAGTCAACATTCACTATAAAGTTGGGTGTTTGTTATTTTTTTAAGTCGACTCCAAAAATGACTGGTGGGAAAACGGTGTGGTTGTAGCAATAACCAGGCGTGGGCCCAGGAGGGAAGGCAGGTTTTGAGTGGAGATGATTATGAGTCTGGCGGTGGCTCCCGGTGAATTAAAAAAACAGCAGCGGCAACAATAACAATGTGAATTTTGTTTCTTTTCAAGTTTTTCTGTTCACATAGAGACTTAGAGAAGTTTCTCTCTTCTCCTCCTATACGAGCCATGTGGCTGGATAGCTTCTGGTGGATCTTCCATGAAAGGTACCAGGTAAATGCAAGCCTGATGGCTTCTCGCCCTTGCTCAGGGCATTTTCCTGTGGCTCAGATCCCGACCCTTCACCGTGGGCTGACGGCCCTCAGACTCCATGGACTGCTTCTGCAGCCCCCTCCTCAGCCCCCTGGTTCCTCACCCCCCC